GATGTACACCTGTAGTACATGTAGACTGCGCTGTACCTTATTACCAACGCACACAACGCACGTGCTCTATAAAAAAAATTCCTGAAAAAGATGAAATCTCGTGCGCAAAAAGTGTCACAGAAAAACTGCACGCACTTCGCCCACATGCTAAAATTTACATCAAATGAAAGCTTATCGCTTTCTCTTTTGATCTGTAGTGATAGTTTCCGTCATTGTTACCTAGTCCAGTCAGGGCGCAGCAAGTAAAAACGCAAATGAAAACAGCCACAGCATTACGCCTCAACTTTAGACGTGCAAAAAAACGGCTAAAAAGTGGTTTAAAATGGGTATTTTTACCACCATTCGAATCGGAAAAACGTGTTCTTTATACTTACCACGCCATCTTGGATGCCCACTACTTCTTTTAGAACGTGTGGTTCGTTACAAAAGATCGGTTGAAATCTCGCAACAACGCACGGAACTCTCGCAGCTATTTCGTACACGTTTGGCTGAGCACATAAAGTTCGGGATTTGACCTCATTATCGCGAGCGCTGCGGACTGACTGGTGCCTTGTGGAGGCCCAAGAGAGTAGGATAAAAGGTCTCCACAAGAAATTTGCTGTTTGTTTCTGTCCCTTTGTACATGTACATGTGTTGAGATGGGAGCATTGAGAGGAGCAACTGCTTGCATATTCTGAGTTGTAGTGATACCAAACCACTTGGCACAACACAAAACATCAGACTGAAATCAAATCACATTCATCGTGATGTGAGTCATGATATAGTAATACAGTCCTATTGATTCATTTATAAAGTGCAAATTCTTCACGTAACCTGAACAAATGAACAAATGGGAAGCATGGCTAATTTTGGGGAGCCTTGGCAAAAGCAGGGCACCTGCCAATATGGCGTCCAATTAGTCTACATGTAGCTTTTAACAGGTTGTTGTCAGCTGTTTTGGGGTAGGGATTTTTTTTTATGCTTACTTCTTTGGCCATAAATTTACAAAACAGTATTTTCTGCTTGTCAGCTTCATGAAGTTGGGTGTTGTTCAATGGATCCAAAATCGTGCATCTTTCCTGTTGTTTCTTAGGCAAGTTGCATCCCCCAAGCCAGCTAAGCGTTTCCAACCATTCCGACTCCAGGCTCCTCCTGTCTTGGCGTCCTCCAGATGAGCTCTCCGACCCAGGGGTCATTACCTACATCGTAGAGTACAGGTGGGAAGGTACCCCAGCCAATGAAAGCTGGTATAAGAAGCAGGTACGGGTAAATTGCATTGCATTTGTGTGGTGAATTGAGCTGGAAACTCCCACCGTGGCAAGTTGTAGTGAATCTTGGACTTTCGCCCT